CTTTCTTGGGCCCTCCCCTCTCCCATACAGTTTTACTGCTGTTGAGGTCTTTGACTCTAACAGCTAATTTTCCCTTTTCCCGCTCTCATGTGATGTGGCATGGCCTTTCTCTGCCAATTACTTGGTGCCCTTTACTAGGCCTTTACTGTAATACCTGAGGGCCTGAGGGAAAGTTGTGGCTGCATTAATTTCCCTTGGACACCGAATATGCTGGTTAATTTTGATTATCACCTGGATTGAGGAATACATAGCATTCCTAAAGCAAGTTTCTGGGTACACCCGTGAAGGAGTTCCCACAGATGGATGGGTGAATGGATCATCCCACGGATGGAGTCTGCTACAGGAAGGTGGTGGACCTGAGTCAGTGGAGAGTATGTACTTAGCTGTGTCTTGCCTGTCTCCTTCCTGGTTCCTGTCTGCCATGATGTAAATTGCTTCCTCTTCCTGTAATGTTCTTGCCAAATTATGGGTCAAGCAGCCATCAACCCCCAGAATCCATGAGCCCAAACAAATCTTTGCTTGGAATTGTTTCTCTTAGATAACTGCTTATAGCTACTCAAAAGCAGCTAGCATATCAAGGGACAACTGTATAGTTCTATAAAATGACTAGACACTTCCTAAAACGTTTTGCTTATAGCCCTGGATTTTGGTTTATCCCTGTGCTACTAGAACATTTATTATATAAAATGTAATGTAGTTTAGGTTAATCATCTGTTCTTACCTGCCTTTATTCCCCAGAATTGATACTAAATGGAATAGATTCCCTTAGACTTAAAAAAAAAATATGATTTCCTCAGAATGTCATAAATTTTTACTTTTTCACATAACAATGCTTTGTTTATTTTTTGTTTTCAAACACATTGGAAGATCATATTACCTGAGCATGACTTTGGCAAGAGTCTCAATGTGGGTGAGTTCTTAAGCACATGTTGAGGCTGGTTTTCAGTGGTCAGCTCACAATACAGTCGGGAGAAGGTTATGTTGGCAAGAACAGTACAGGCCAAGCCTCAGCTGGGCAGCGTGAGTTTCACCATTTAGACAGCCCGTCATAGGCAGCAGCAACAGCCCAGAAGAGGGATTCAGATAGTGGATAGGAAGAAAGGAACATGCAGCTTGGGAAGTGTAAAAATGAGTGAGGGAGTGACAAATAGACCAGTGTGACAGGATTTCTGGAATGAAAGAATTAGAAAGGTTTGAGAACAAAATATGAGTTAAATGTTTGAAAACTGGGCTGGCAAGATGTCTCAGCCAGAAAGGCCTGCATCATGCCAGTCTGCTGACCTGAGTTCAATCCTGGAACCCACATAAGAGTGGAAGGAGAGAACCAGCTCCACAGAGTCTTCCCCTGACCTTTGCCCCACACACTAACAGCAATGACAGTTAAAACATTCGTGAAAGACCATAATCACTAAGAGTCACGTGCTGTGGGGGCTGGAGTGGTGGCGAAGCGCTCAGTGGTTAAGAACACCTGTTGCTCTTGTAGAGGATCTAGCTTTCAGTTTCTAGCCCCCACAGACTTAAACCATCAGTAACTCCAGTTCCAGGGAATCCAACATCCTCCTGTGACTTTCTTGGGTACCAGCTATTCACACAGCTACATATGTGCATGCAGGCAAAATACTCATATACATAAATAAATATAAAAAGGAGTCAGATATCTGAACATCATTTCTTTAGCTTTTATAGGATTATTTCTGTCTCATTAGACAGTCAGGGGATGCTCAGGTTTGACTAGAGCTTGTTCTTTTCTAAATTCTCGAACTTTATTTTTGTGTGTGTATGAGAAGGGGAGGGAGCACATATGGAAGTCAGAGAGCAACTTGCAGGAGTCAGGTCTTGGGGATAAAATTTGGGCCATTAGTCTTGGCAGTAAGTGCTCTCACACGCTAAGCCATCTTGCAAGCCCTAGTCTTTCTGTGTGAAGTTTCTGTAGTTCTGTGCAGAGAGAAAAGGGATGGTTTGAGTTCTGTTGTACCTCCTATCTCAGCAGGGCAGCTGAAACAGACTGCCAAATTCCCGATACAGACAAGCAACCATCCCTGAAGACTGATGTGGATCAAGGCAGGGCAGATGCAAGCCCAGTCAGTAACAGAGCGCTGCTTGACCCATTTCTTTTTTTCCATAGTCACTGCTGTTTGCCAGTGACATAAAGAAACACGCACAGTATACACGCATGCATCAGTTTCAGACAATACTAAATGGAAAGGGATAAATAAATACATTTGTTGACATATCAAAGGAAGACTTTACCTCTTTCGTTTGCGCTACCACTTTCTAGTAATTTACTGAAAGGTACACAGGGGAAGGAGGTGAGATAAGGGAGCGCATGTGTGGGAATAATTATTTTTCTTTAATCCAGAAAGTAAATGTGTGTGTGGGGTTACTTCTGTGACTGAATATTGTTAGGTCTAAAGCAGCCTCCCAAAATGGCAGAGCTGATGACAATGTCTTAAACAGAAGGACTTTAACTGGACAAGGGATTTTATGAAGGGTAAGAAGCCTAAAGGCAGATTTCTTTTTACTAGGAACATCCCTTAACCTGCCCCCTTTCAAAGAGTCCCACCCCTCCTAACAACCAAACTGCCCATCTTACCTTCCTGGGCATGGATTATTCATCTCTGTGTTCACTTCCTCTTCCCACCACGTTCAACTCCAAATTTTAGAGCCCATTTCTTCAGCCGTTTCTCTCCTCCATCTGCTCTACCTACAGTCTCTCCTTGGTTACTCCAGTTAAGTGTCCTCCTGGAGCTGCCTGGTTTGTCTCTCTGGTTTTTGTTAACTTGCTGGAGCTTCACTCTGTCTGTCTCCCTGGAATTTGCTACAAAGTTGTGTTGGTACATTAGGCAACTTCTTACCACTTCCTGGGTGCCCTATCATGTGGAGAAGGGACAACACCCCCTCCCCCCACTGATTGGCCATCTCTCCGACAAGTCTCTGTCTGCTTGGGAGTGCCTGTAGCACCAATTGTAATTGGTATTAGTAATTTTTTTTAAAAACCCAGAGACAGATACTGGGGTTTAAGATGAAGATCACAAAAGCAAAGCAGCCAACCACTAGAGAGTCCTTGCTGATACCAAGGCTCAGTCCAAAAGGGGTGATCGTGTCCTCAGCATGACTGCAGACTGCCCTGCTTCTGTCTCCTCCCATCTTACATTCCTGTCTAGTGCTGGGATTAAAGGCGTGTCATCCCAAATGCTTGGATCAAAGGTGTGAGCTCTGTTTCTCTTTTAGATTGCTTTGCTTTCATGTCTCCCAGGGTGGCCTTGAACCCACAGAGATTCATCTGCCACCACTGCGTGTCCTCTGTGGCTAACTAGTGGCTAGCTTTGCACTCTGATCTTCAGGTAAGCTTTATTTGTTTTATCATAGACAAAATGTCACCATAGGTGCCCTCGAATTGAGACTCTGTCCCCCAATGCCTACCCCTCACAGCGTCGCCCTTCTGTGGCCCTGCTGTTGGAGCCCTCCTCTGGCTGGTGCCTTCCTGTTTATGACACTTTTCCAAGCCTGGCCAATCCCTCCTTGCTCTGCCCCCGGGGATTCTTTACTGCCAGCCTTTCGAGGGCTCTCCTTTCTGCCTGCTCTGTCTCTAGCCCACTCCTGGGGCATGAACTGACCATGTGCTCTTATTAGACCCCTTGATCCCTCTCACCTGCCTTCTCTAGTCTCTTTCTCTCCTCAGAGGCTCTGGGAAGCCGCACACAACTTGACCTCAGTACAAACTAGGTAATCAGTGTCAATGACCAGATAATGCATGCCTGGTTTCCAGATTTTTGTGGATTATGACTTCTGCCACCACACATGTGATCTGAAAATCCTTTGTCTCTATTTTCTCTACTCTCTCTGCTCTTGAAAAGCTCTGGTCTCAAGGCCTTCTTTCTCTATACTCACTCCTGTCCCTTCCTCCAACCAGTGATTCTGGCTGAGATTTAGATGTCTTCTAAGTATGGCTAATACTGGAATATTAGAATATTGTCACATGCAGTTGTACTCTACTGAAAAGCTCCACAGGTGGAATTTGCCCTGCCCACTACAGACCCAAGCATGTTTTTTTTTTTTTTTTTTTTTAAGATGTCTTCAAAGCCTTTGTCCTGGGTCAGGAAGGATACCTGGCTCTGTGAAGGGTGAAAAGAGAACAAAACAGAACAGCTCAAAAAAAAAAAAAAAAAAAAAAAAACACTGTACTCAGAACAACCAAGAGGTAAACTATTTCCAGTAGAGGTCACTGAGGGCTAAGGGTAATCACAGACTTTGGTTCTCAATGCTGCACCCCCTTGATTGTGTTCACTGTCTTTGAAGATTTGCTGAAATACCTTGGGATTTATAAAATCATTAGGGTGTGCTTTTTTTAAAATGTGGTGGTGGTGGCACACACCTTTAATCTCAGCGCTTGGGAGACAGAGGCAGGCAGATCTCTGAGTTTAAGTCCAGCCTGGTCTACAGAGTGAGTTCCAGGATAGCCAGGGCAATACAGACAACCCCTATAATCCCTGTCTCGGGGCAAAAATAAAATAAAAAAGGTATAAAATCCCAAGCAGAAAAAAGTTAGCTCAAAACTTGTAACAAAAATGGTTTAAATTAACCATAGTTAAAAATCTATGTATAGGTAATCTTAATTTGCTATAGCATATCATATATGTAACTTGGATTCAACTCTTGTTTAGAAAAAGAGGTGTTTGAAGATGGTTTTATTTTATTTTCCCTAGACTAAGAAGATAACACCAGGCCTCTAAGATATTTTAGGACAAAGGTAGAATTTTTTATGATGGCTTTTGTTCTAGGAGTAAAAAATGACAGCTAAGGACAAAAGCATGAAACCTCTTTGATGGTGAAGATTTATGAACTCCTCAGGTTCTCTTTCAGATAATAGAAGCTAACTTAAAGATGTACATCTAACTATAAACACCTTTGCTAACTGTGTAAAGCTTTAGCTATTTGAAGAAACTGTGTCATATAAGAAACTGATATTTTGTAAAATTATACTATGAAAGGATCAGGAGATCCTTTTTGGTTCATAAGTGTGATGATTAGGGATTCACACCTCTGCATGACGTGTGCTGCCCATTAAACCTTGTTATGGTGTGGGCACATTACCTGACGTGAAAAAAAAAGGGATCAGGAAAAATATGGTTCCCCAGTCTCTCCATGAACTGTATTTGTGATTTAAAGTTTGTTTTGCTAAGCTGGGCAGTGGGGTGGCACATGCCTTTAATCAGATGTATTAAGAGAGAACTTGCCAGTCATGGTGGAAAACACCTTTATTCTCAGAACTTGGGAGGCAGAGGTAGGCATTATCTCTGTGAGTTCAAGGCCAACTTGATCTACATAGTAAGTTCCAGGACAACCAAAGCTGTGTAGAGAGACCTTGTGTCAAGAGAGACAGAGAGAAAACTTAAAAGAGACTAGACGATGGCCCTCAAACACCTTAGTGATCTGTTGAATATGGTATTTAAGGTGTTTAACTCAAGGGAGAAGCAGAAAAGAGTGAAAAGTGCTTCCCATGATAGACAGAAATCTAGCTTCTGGCAGCATCCCTGGGACCACCTCAGGAGGTGATGAGGTTACTTGAAGGGGTGATGGGGCCACCTCAGGAGGTGATGAGGCACCAACAGGCTCAATCTGGAGCTTTCTTCAAGTTTGGCAACGCTAGTTCCTGAATGAAGAACTGCACTTCACCTCACCCACAACCTGCACAGGTGAGACACTGGAAGGTTGATTGTTTTTCTCTGTCATGTCAAGGTAGGCCAGTCCCTACCTACAGGAGAATCTTTCTGATCTTCTTGGCCTAGAAGCCAAAGACTGATGCCCTGGTCTAGCAGTTGAAGACTGACACTGCTCTGGAACCTTGCATCCAGGAACCATGAGGAGCCTAGGGTGAAGTCTCTGTTGTTTTTAAAGGATTTTAGGGCCATACTTCCTGCTCACTCTGGTAAAAGTTTTAATGGCCAGTCCCACCTGCCTAGGACTACAGGTCAGCTACTCTGTCCCCCTGGAGCCACCTAAAACTCACTCCTTCCTTATTGTGCCTGACCCCATGTTGAGCAGGGATGTCATAGCTAAGTCACACTTTTCCTTTTCTTTTCACCCAACCCTTCTGGAATTTTCCATCTCTTTCCAGCCTCTGATGAGTCTTCTTGTGCACCAGCTAACAATAATCCTTTACCCTACCCTCTTCCATACTCCCTCACTGACTCAAAATTGTGGGACACCTATTGTGGCTTCCCACCTTCTGTGGCTTCCCATCATTCCCCCCATTAAGATCCTACCCCAGGACCTTACCTACCCATCACTCTCAATACCATACATATCCCTTTAAAATATATGAGATCTAGAACCCATCATTCAGTACCTTCTTAGTCAGAGCATCTGTTGTGGAATATTAGTTTAACATGTGTTACATTTGTTTATGCTGTGGAGTATTTGTTTAGTGATGCAAAGATGTGTTGCATTCCTTTATGTTGCATTTGTTTAGCTCTGTGAAGCTATATTACTTTGCCTGTCTAAAACACCTGATTGGTCTAATAAAGAGTTGAACAGCCAATAGCAAGGCAGGAGAAATGATAGGCCGGGCTGGCAGACAGAATAAATATGAGGAGAAATCTGGGGAGAAAGCTCTAGAAGCAAGAGAAGGAGGAAGACTCCAGGGGCCAGCCACCCAGCTACACAAAAAGCCGTAGAGAAAGAAGTAAAGATATATAGAAATAGAGAAAGGTAAAAGCTCAGATGCAAAAGGTAGACAGGCTAATTTAAGACAAGCTGGCTAGAAACAAGCCAAGCTAAGGCCAGGCATGTATAAGTAATAAGCCTCTGTGTGTGCATTTATTTAGGAGCTGAGTGACAGGCCCCCCAAAAGAGCCAAAGTATAAAAGAACAACCAACTACAACCATCCTCAAGTCCCCTCACCCCCACTCCACAACACACGATCTTGCCTACCCTGCTGCTCTAGACCTTTAGGACACTTTCTTCACCGTTCCTTTGTCCCCAGATTTGCACGACCTCTTTGCCTTCACTTAGGAGGACCCTAACACCAGAACAGCACATCAGCTTACTTGGATTGCCCTTTCCCAGGGGTTCTGAGACAGCCCCCACTTCTTTGGCCAGGGTCTGTCCATTGACCCTTCTCCCAACCTATCTCCCAGCCACCAGATCCAACGTGTTGATGACCTCTCTTATGCAGCCCCTTGCTGTCACAACAATATAGGGCTCAGTTCCTTAACTTTCTAGGAAACAAAGAGTACTAAGTCTCCCAGAGCTCAGCTTTCTGTCCTTGGGGTCAAGCATCTGGGCTTCCTGCTGCCCCCTAACAGCCATGAGCGCACTCCCAGTAGTAGACAGTACCTCACACCTCCAACTGCCCAGGGAAGGAGGCTGCTCCCCTTCTTGTCCTGGCAGGGTACCTCTGAACCAGGAATCCCAACTTTGCTGTTCCTCTCCCCTCCGAGAAGCAGCTAAGAGCCCCTAACAGCCTCTAGTCCCTACCAAGCCTGCCCTGCCTGCTGTCTGACCTCTGACAGGCACTCTACAGGCTCCTGCCCTGGCTCTCTACAGAGCTTGACTAGCCCTTTATCCTGTGTACAACAACAACAACAAAATAGTAATAATAATGATAATGATGATGATGAAAGGGTTGAGCGGTGGCGGCACGCACCTTTAATTCCGGCACTCGAGAGGCAGAGGCAAGCGGATCTCTCTGACTTCAAAACTAGCCTGGTCTACAAGAGCTAGTTCCAGGACAGTCTCCAAAGCCACAGAGAAACCCTGTTAAAAAAAAAAAAAAAACAAAACAAAACAATAACAACAAAAGACAAATGGCCCTGAGTTTTTGAACAAATGAGAAGACCCACCTTTGCCCAGGTTGCCATTAGGGAAGGTCTGGCAATCTTGCTTATAGACTCTAGTAGCAGCCTTCCTATTGGCACAGAAAAACTCTTAAGCTCACATTTGGTCACCTTCCCCGTCCTCTCAGCAGCCTGTCTCGAGGATTTCCTATCACAGAAAAGCCTCTGCGCTCTGTTCCTTCTAAACTAAAACTTGTTCACACGATTTCCTAGAAAATTCCACTTGATCCCTGCTCGCCTCCCAAGCCTGCCACACTCCTCTGAAAGGCTATGACTCGCAGTCATTCCTGCTCACGATCACTTGAAAGAAACCCTTGCAGCTTTCCATTTCCCCTCTGTCACATCCTGATCTCAGCTGCACTGGCTCCGCAGTGGGTAATGCGGCGGCTCCTCTGACCAGGTTATGGAGTGTGCCCCTTTACCCCCAGACCCTACTATATAGCCTTGGGAAGTGCTTTCCAGGACAGGACTGCTAAGAGGCCAACCAACACCCCACCCTCCTTCCTCTATTCTTGGGCTCCTCCAAGCTCATCTCCTACTGACTCAAATCCCTCCCAACACAGGCCCTGTCTTCACCAGACAGTTTAGCAGCCCTGCTACCTGCTACCATAGCAGCAAACAGGCCTGCCCAGCACCCACAGGGCAGCTCACAACTGTCTATAATTCCAGTTTCAGAGGACCCAACACTCTCACACAGACATGCATAAATAAAAATACATTTTAAAAAAAAATTCTGGTTTTACAATAACTTTAGGTGCAAAAGGTGTCCATGTTGCTTGTTGATGATACAAATTTGAGAGGTTTAAAAGAAAGCTTATATTATTTTACCTGAATATTATATTACTCTTAAATATAACAGCTCTGAAACTGAGGCTGGGTGACCTACCAGCCTAAGTTAGTTTCAAGTGTAAAAGTCAGGCCTTGCCCTTCCCTAGAGCTTCAGGATTCCTACTGAAATAGGTAAACTCACAAACTGATTTCAATGAAAAAGCAGACTCAAAACCAGCTGTTGTCACAGCTTTAAGGTGACTTTTTACTCAGCCTTTATGCTCCAACAATGATTTTAAAAAGGGCTTGACTTGCTTTTTCAGTGACTACTCTCAAGACTCAAGCACCTGTATCTCATGGTAAATGATTAGATAGTTCCAGAACTGGGAAAAAAAATAGAACATTTATTCAAGTTGCAACGGTGTGAGAGGAAATGATTTAAGGTATGTGAAAAATGAAACTTAAAAGATGATAATATGGCTGGGCAGTGGTGGCACACACCTTTAATCCCAACACTCGGGAGGCAGAGGCAGGAGGATCTCTGTGAGTTTGAGGCCAGCCTGGTCTACAAAGCTACACAGAGAAACCTTGTCTAAAAAAAAAAAAAAATCATATATTCAAAGTTCAGAATTTAACCCATCAATGTTAAACCCTTATTTAAATCAATAGAGTTGTCATAAGTGATCTACTTTGGTAAGTTATAGGTATTGACCACTTAAATTTAAACAATTAAAATGATATCACAGGCTCAAAAAAATTTAAACTTCCCTTGAGCATTTTAATTTAGTCATGTTATGTAGGCTTTGTTTTGCTATAGCTCAAAGGTGTGTGTCTGCTGGTACGTTTGCAGACACTTGACTGTAGATTAGAGTACTCTGGCTAATACATCTGAAACTTGTATCTCTTTTGGTCAACCTTAAAATTTCACGTAAGCTTTAAGGAGTGCAGTGAATCCCTGGGAATTTCAAGCAACCCAGAAGCTCCTTGATTTTACCTTCTGTCCAGTCTACCTATCCAAGCAGATTTCCATTTAGCTAACAGACACCACCCAGCAATCATCTACAGCCCCCAAACTGCTCCAAAATGGCCTCACTTCCCTTAGCCTCCAAGTCCTGCAAAACCAGCGAGCCCTCAACTTGCTGACAGACAAAAAGGGAGACACTTGTCTTTTCCTCCGTGAAGAAAGTTGTCACTATGTGAACTATAGACAGCGTCCAGGGGCCAGCGCCTGTGAAGGGCTCTCCCTTTGGTATCCCTCGGGCACCCAGCTCCTCCTCAGCCCACTGGCTTCTGTCCTCCTCATAGGAATGATTTCTCTGTGTCTCCTTCAGGAGAGAATTAGTAAGCTAACCCCACAGTCAGTAAACTATGTGCTTCCATCGGAATTTCCTCAGGTCTTTTACCATTGCCTTCCAGCCTGCTTGCACCCCTACTTTGAGTCAGCATTCCAGCCTCTACTCTTCTCAAGGTGCCCATCAGTAGGAAGTAGCCAAAGGTT